ACTTCATTGTTAATTACTTTCAAGTTTCTTGAATATGTTCTATTGCTAATTTGTGTTTAAGGTTTCTGCAGATCCCCAAATAATTATTCAGAAATATTTACGTTTTACATCTGGTTTTTTTGATCTGTTCTCAATCTTGTATTCGTATTTCTTTATGGGTTTTCGCTAACTTTTTGTAATTATTGTTTTTGATTATGTTCATCTAGTTTTTGATTCGTGCCTTTTTTTTGATAAATAGGAAACTCCATTCTTAATTTCTTTCAAGCTTTCTTGAATTTGTTTGTGTGGGTTTTCTTGAATTAAATTTGTTTTTGCATTTTCTGTTTAAAAGTACTGGTTTTGATCTTTGAGTTTTTAATTTTCAATTTGCTTCCAAGATCGAGAGGAGAAACTGATGTCTAAATGATTATTTCTTCCCCCCCCCCCCCTAACTATCCGTAGTTAGGTAGGAGGCATGGATAAGAGGGTGTTGGAGTGGTGTGTTGGTCGGTGAGAAGGATAGCTAAAGGGAGAAGTGCAAGAAGAATCTCGACTCGTGAATACACCAAAATGTACAGAATCAATTCTCATATCAAGCATGATTCAGGGTGAGTTTGATATTAAAAGTGATCAATGATCCATATCTTTTCTTATATTTCTCACACTTTAACTCTTATTTTCATACGATCATCATCAATTGTACAAAATTGTATATATATTTTTTAATAGCCTAAAATAAAAAATATTATTGAAGGAAGAAAAACGTGTCATTTAATCGTAAAGTCAAATATCTTTTATATTTTTTTTGAACATTGTTAATCAAAAAATAAAATTTCTAAAAAATATTTTTCTCTATTTTAAAGACTACAATTTAATTACACGTAATATAATTAATAAAAATATTGTATTCGTAATCGCGAATCAACCAACCAATTGTAACGGGGTCTTAAAAATCTTAGATTACTTGATAACTAAAGCTATAACACTAACGTGCTGTTTACTGCTTGCCTATGCAAGTGTATACCAGCAAAATTCAACACTATCGTTTGTTTATCGGGTAAGATTTTAGTCTACAAAAACGATATCATATGCAACAATTTACTAAATAAGCGCTAATTATGGTAAGAGTCGTCGCACTTATTTATCGGGTAAGACTTTAGGTACTTAACTTAGCTCTCACCAGGTAAGATTCTTGGTCTTTACCATAGTTATCCGGTAATGTAATGTGACTTGTTAACCATTCACCCAAGTAAGCGTTTGCTAAACAACCTTTTATACATGTAAAACTTAAGTTCTTGCTTCAATTCCTAATTTTATGGTTTTATAAAATTATGTCCGATTCAACCAACCCAATCCAATAAGAATTCGCTTAAGTTAGGTTATACATTTTCTTTTTGAAATGATCGAGATTTTTGAAATGGCAATTGGTTTTTTTTTTATTCTCTCCAAATGTCATTACTTTCGCAAGTGACATCTCCGTAATTTAAGGAGGTAGCTAAAAGACAAAAAAAAAATACAATTTCTGACAGGTCCGCAGGTGACAAATTCGCAATTTCTACTCAGGTCCACAATTCATGGAGGTGCCACTTGCGGACTTGAACATAAATTATAATTTTTTTTTTGTTTTTTAGCTACATCCATAAATTACAAAGATACCATTTATTAAGACCATAAGGTATTTGTGCAATGTAGCGAGATACATATTCATTTAAATATTTCGTTTTATTTTTTGTCTTTGTTGATTTAACACAATTTATATAGTTCTGAAAAAGACAATGTTTTTACATTTGAATAAAAATAAATTTGAAAACATCATAATTTAAAAAAAAAAATATCGATATTAAATTAACTATTTAAATTTTTTTTTATTATAATTTAATTTAGGTCAAATAGTAAAGTAATTTATTTTTGGCTTAATAATAAAAATTCTATAAAAATAATGATTCTGTTAGGACTCGATAATTATCCTAATTATATTTTAGATTTTGTATATTTAAAATGAGATGTTTATCCTCTATTTGATTATGTTTATCCGTAGTTAGTTATACGAATTCAAACATGAAGCTTTAATAAGTTGTAGTTATGCATAATATACTTGTGATCTTAAATTTTAAGTAATATGCATCAATAAATAGTACTTCATGCATAAAAAATGGTTTTTAAGAGTTTTTGTCATATGCTTTATAATATAATATAAATATAAATGTAGAGAGAGAGAGAGAGAGAGTTCGTTTCAAATGCAAACCATCATATTTGTACAACCAATACAACCTAATAAATTGAGATATTTATGAAAATGATGAGAGTTTATTTATTATGATTTTAATATTTATGGAAAATGAATATGGTTCATTAATTATAATCAATACTTTATATTATGAAACAACCAAACCTTCTATGAAATCACATATTAATCAAATTAAATAGACGTTTGAGATTAGAATATATTGGTTGTACAAATATAAATGGTTATATAATAACTCACCTCTTTCTATATATATATAGATGAAAATGACTAATTAAAGAGGAAATATAAATTATACCATCTCTACAGTTTTCTCAGGGCATATACTAAAATAAAAAAAGGTCTAAAATTTCCATCATTTTTCATTTGAAAATTCTATGTAAAGGAAGAAAACGAAGATTTTTAGAATTTGGAGTTAAGGGTTGTTTATCAAATGCTTGTTCGAGTAAACTTTTACCATATCATATTACTTTAGAGTATGAATACAACAAGAACCAAGAATCTTACCTGGTAAGAACGAATGCAAGGATTAAGGGCCCTTTACCTAAACACTTATCTGGTAAGCTTTTATTGGTAAATTCAACACTATCGTTGACTTACCGTTAAGATTTCAGTCCACCAAAACAACTTTGTATGTAATAATTTACTTGGTAAACGCTAACCGTTGTAAGAGTTATTACCATCACTTACCAGGTAAGACTCTCGGTCCTTACCTTCCTTCTTACCGGATAAGATTCTTGGTACTTGACATATTCATGCGGTAAGGTAATATAACTTGGTAAGCGTTTACCCAATAAGCATTTGGTAAACGACCCCTTAATTTACATTTCTCACCTAGGTTTGCAAAAAAAAACTTACATCTTTCATCCAAATTTGTAAAAGACGTTACATTTTGTTGGAGTTTGAATGCAATTTTTTTTTTAAATTAAATTTTGGTTCTATATTTAAATAAATATAGAAAGTCTGTTAAAAAAGCTCTAATTTTTTATACGAAATATGAAATTCAATATTAAAAATTGTTCTCGAAACTCTTTTTTACGGAAAAGAAAGGGTGAAAAAGAAAGAAAAATAATGTTAATTTTCCCTCCAAAAAGTAAGGAACTTAATAATAATAATAATAATAATAATAATAATAATAATAATAATAATAATAATAATAATAATAATAATAATAATAATAAAAATAAAAATAAAAATAAAAATAAAAATAAAAATAATAATAATAATATTACATATCATCAATTAGACAAAAGATCATGCAAGAAGAAAAGTTAAAGTGAGAAGCGTAAAAAGAAATTTGGATCCTTGATCACTTTCTAATCTCTTGATTATCCATGAATTACGTTTCTCAACGGAATTGATCCGGTGATCTCGACATGTCTCATCTTTGTGTATCTCATTCTAATGTGAATGGAAGGGTGGGGACCTCTTCATACGATTCTCACTAGAACCTAGGGGTGCTCATGGGTTGAGTTGATCGGGTTGAAGATATTTGAACAACTCAATCCAATGTTTACAATTTGAAAATTCTTAACCCAGCCCAACCCAACCCAGACCAAAGTGCAACCCAACCCAACCCAAATCGTACAGGTTGATCGGGTTGATATTTTGATATATTAAAATATTCTTTTAACCCTGAATATGTTATTTTTTACTCATAATGTCTTATTCATCATCAACCATCGGATAAAACTCATCCATACTTCTTACATATATCACATTCAATTAATTTTCTCAATTTACGTATATATGTTTCACAATTATTGAACATATACACGAATGAATTATATAGAGATAGATAATATATTAAAAATATGTATATATGAAGAGCGTACATGACAGTGTAATTGTCTAATGTATATATTAATATAAACTCAACAATCATATTAGATCCAAAAAATAAAAGGATATCGGGTTCATTGAGTTGAGTTGGATTCAAATAATAGTAACCCAATACTTATGGTTTGAAAATTACCGGAACCCATGTGTCCCATCTTGATCCATATCAAAGATTAATTTTTAAACTGAACACATGTTTAATTTATGATATTATAATTTTTATGAATATTTTTATTCGTGAAATAATGATATTTTGTTAACATGTTTAATTTTTTATATTATAATTTTTAGTAAACATATTTGATTAAATTTTACAATGTTTAAATGATAAAAATATTAAAATTAAAAGTATAATGTTGTAATAGAAATTAATGATGTTATAATAAAATAATTTTGAAAGTACAATGCTATAATAAAAAAATGTTACTCAACACTATCATACATGTGTACAACCTATGAGACGATAAGGTGATAAATAAACTTGATATAATGAGTGAATTTAATTTAAAAGATTACTCAATATTATAATAAATAAATTTTTGAACGTATGATGCTCTAATAAAAAGTATTTTAAAAATACATTGTTATAATAAAAAAACTCTAAAAATACAATATTTTAATAAAATTTTTTTATAAAAATAAGTTGCTATTTTACATATTTTTATCTTTTATTTAAATAACTTAATGAAAATTCCAAATTCAGTCCAAGATTCCTTTGGCTGCAAAATATCCGCTCCTTTTTAAGATAAGCATTGGGGATTTTATAAATATGTAAATTAAGATTTAAAATTATGACGTCACAGGTGAACGTAGACGGAAAACCGGTCAAAGTGGAATTCCTCACGCGCCTCCGCTTCTTTCCGCCACTATATATCTAACCAGCATTTGTTTCTGTTCGCTTAATGAGATTACCGAAACCAGCATGCCGGAAAATCACTTTGTAGAAGCAGAATTGTCGCCTCATCAGAAGAAATATAACGGCGAAAATGGCAGTGGAGTTGTTTTCCCAACTGTTCTAATCCCTAATCCGAAGTCTGTTCATCATAATCTCAAGGAACTCATCCGTGATCAGAAGCCATGGCTGGAATCTCTGCTCCACAACACCGGCGCGATTTTGTTCCGAGGCTTTTCTTCTTCGATCTCTTCTGCTTCCGACTTCAATGACGTCGTTGAAGCTTTCGGCTTCGAGGAACTTCCTTATGTTGGTGGCGCCGCCCCTCGTACAAACGTCGTCGGTCGTGTTTTCACTTCCAACGAGTCTCCTCCGGATCAGAAGATTCCGTTCCATCACGAAATGGCTCAGGTCTGTTTATCCAATCGATTTCATGTTTTTAGGCGATTTTACTAAAATTTCTTAGAATCGATAGAGATGATTTGTTCATGTACAATTGTAATCGAGAGGATCGTTGAGATCTAATAGATCGTAAATGAATTCTCTGCCGTAAAATTCATCGTGATCGTTCTGAACATGAATTCAACTGCAACAGGTTCCTACCTTTCCATCAAAGGTGTTTTTCTTTTGCGAAGTAGAACCAAAAATTGGGGGAGAAACACCTATAGTACTCAGCCATGTTATCTACAACAAAATGAAACAGAAATACCCCGATTTTGTTGATCGATTGGAAGAACATGGACTGATCTACACAAGAGTGTTAGGGGAAGATGATGATCCTTCATCTCCAATCGGTCGTGGATGGGTCTCCACGTTCTTGACCAAAGACAAAACCATAGCTGCAGAGAGGTTTGCGATTGATCCCATAACTGCATAGCTAATCTTCCACTTCTTATAATTGAATTCTCATTTTATCCCCATTTTCTGCATATATATATATATATATATATATATATACATTTGCTTAAACTCGATTTTCAGATTAATTTTTTTTTTCTCGTAAATATTCAAATTTTTGTGTAAGGATTATGACTGAAATAGCCGATCAACAAATAGGGTTTCACTTTTTAGCCGTTTGTGACCTAAATTCACTTTTTAGATGATATTTACAATGAAGGCTTATGCATATGCATAAGGATTGATTTTCGGATGGAAAAAAAGAGGAACCCTTACTTATATGCATAAGGTATATATGATTAAGGATTCGGAGGGATTTTTCTTTTGCCGAAAACTAATCCTAACACATGCATAAATAAGCCTTTCGCTTAAGGATTGGCTAAAAAGTGAACTTGGATCACAAAATGGCTAAAAAGTGAAACTAGCTTTGGTTATTTATATAAATTTCCCTTTTTTTCCTCTCTAGAAATAAGTCTTTACACAAATAGGCAAACATCTGTATAAAGACTGGCTATTTTTAGGAAGAAGCTCTGAAAAGTGGCTAAACAATGAATTTGATTGATGGAATTGACTATATCAGTCAATTTTGCCTTCAACGTATTCCCGCAAAGTTTGGATGAGATTTTGGTTATAAAATGGCAGGGCCGCGAAGCTGGGAATGAAGCTAGAATGGACAGATGATGGAGTGAAAACAATAATGGGGCCGATCCCGGCGATCAAATATGATGAAACACGAAAACGCAAAATCTGGTTTAATAGCATGGTGGCAGCTTACACCGGGTGGGAAGATGCAAGAAATGATCCGGTGAAGGCAGTGACGTTTGGGGATGGCACACTGTTGCCGCCCAATGTCATATACGATTGCTTGAAAATCCTGGATGAGGAAAGCGTCGCTATACCGTGGCAGAAAGGCGACGTTTTGCTGCTGGATAATTTGGCGGTTCTTCATGCCCGACGACCATTTGAGCCACCACGTCGGGTTCTGGCTTCGCTTTGCAAGTGAAGGGAGAACACTGGTTTGTTTCCCCTTCCTTTGTATCAATATTAGTATGGATTATAAAAGGCTGCATTTGCACCCTTTATCTTTGAGTTTAAGTTGAATAAAGAGCTTCATTTTGTAGTTGGTCCGGTTTAAGGTTCTAAATGACACGAGACGTAGCATCAAAGGCAAAACCTCATCCAATGCAAGGTTCTTATAAGCAAAAAGTGTAATTTCTTAAGAAAAACCAACGTTGTAGAGTATTCTTAGAAGTTCTTGTACAAGAACCTTGATTCTTACCTTGAAGTTGGTGTGAAGTGACAATCTGCTAATTTTTTTAATATTTTATTTATAAATATATTATAATTATTGATGTTAAAAAAATACATGAGACCCACAAAAAAGTTCTTATAAGAACTACCATTTGTAGACTTTTATGTGAGTTCTTAATTTGATAAGTGATAAGCGATTTGGGAACAAAAAGAATACAAAAAGTAAGTTCTTATAAGAGCCTTCATTGGAGATGCTCTTAGGAGCTACAACAAACCCAGATCATTTTTGAAGGCATGAGATATGACGACAAATCTCTATATCATATATAATATTATATTTATAAACATATGTTTTCTACTAGAGTCAACGATGTTAAACGATTTAAATTAAGCTATATATCAAAGACTAACAAGTAAGACATTAGAAAGTTGGATAAATCAAATATCACGTTACAAAAACCATGCATCACGTCACGGTGTGCTACGAGCTTAACATGACGTCAGACACAAGCCTTGAACGACAATGTGCCATGATGGTTGTTACGACGAGCCTTTTAGAACACTGACTATCATAAGTGTGTTTAAGGTTGTTGTAAGTCGGGGTCTGCTTATCGTTGCTTTCCGCATACCAAAATATGCTAATGAGGTAAAAAAAGGAAAAGAAGCGTCTTTGGTTTCACGGAGGAGACTCTATCACCAGAAAATGTGAATATTTAGGGTATTTTTGTCATTAAAAAAGATAAGCATAGTTTCCAGAGGATGACAGCATTAAGCGTACTTACGATATTAGGACAACGTTATGCGCACTTATGATATTAGGACAACATTAAGCATAGAGACTCAAATTTCCCATTGTAAACTCCTTGTAACATTTCACATAACCAAAAAGGCCACTTGATGAGACCTATCATATATATTGCAAACTGAAGACATGATCCATCTTTATATTACAAGGACTCAACAACACATTTTTGAGAAGAGAAGGTTATAGGAACAACGAATACGGTGGAGAAATAAATAATCAAATGCGTAACGTGTAAAACCTCACCCTGGTTGACGCTATAACGAACCATCTATGCAACTATTTACACACAACGCAGGCAGTATAATGTTGAAAACTGAATCGGACCCTCTTCATCAACTAATGAATAATGATGCAGATTATAGAGAAAAAAAGATGGTGACGGGACTTATCTACCTTGAACAAGGCCGCTGAACACTTGGCTGTTTCCAGCAAGAGTTGCTTCCCACTCCACGGATGATAAAAGAATTTGCGAAAGAGAAATAACAACGTGCTTCATGTCGGGTCGCAAGATTGGGTCGTCCTCCACGCATTGTTTCGCCACCATTGCCATCTATCAACCATCCGGATGTAGGGTCAGTAGGGGCAGGTTCAAATGAGAACAGTAAATATTCATGTTTTATTTATGATGAATGACGAGATATATATAGAGGTGTTCATCGGTTGAAATCTAATGGATATAGGTGGATCCGATCCTTTCCCATCATCCATTGGATGTTGGATTTTGTCATCCGATCCAATCCAATTCAATGGAACTTTACTATTGGTTATCCATTAGATCGGACTGGATTCATCCAATATCTTGATCCAATTTTCAGCCAATTTATCTATCATTTCAATCAATTACTTATATATTTTCTCAAGTTATTAAAAAACACGTGCATATAAATATCAACTAAAAAACAATATCGGAAAATGTTAATAATTATATATAGTTACTAATTGGATGATAATTCAATTGGTAATTGGATTAGATCAATTAGGTTTTACTGGATGCTAGACTGCCATTCAAGAACCGACCGATCCAATTTTGATAGTTGAAATTTTGGATCCAATCCGATTGGATTACAATTGGATATCCGATTATGGCTGATCGGTTCTAATTGGATCAGCCAGTTTAAATTGGATGGGCTGACTTTTTGCATGCCCATAATATCCATGAACTTTACTCGCAATGAAAATACATGATGATTAACAATATTCATGGTTATTCTTCATGAGTAATAGTTGGTTCCTAGATTCTTAAAATATTTACGGTTCTCGCTTAAACTTTCCCCGAGATCAATATGATGCTTTAAGTATGTTTATAAACATCAAATGTGTGTTTTTTGAGAAATTGACCAAAATAGTCAATCTCCTCAACCAAATTCACTTTTTAACCACCTTTGGCATCAAATTCTCATTTTAGCCAAAGTTCACACAAATGCATAGCAAATCCTATTTACAGATTAAAAAAATTATTTACGCAAACCCGGGTCCTTAAGCAAATTCTTTATGCAGATTTGCATAAAACCTACATAAAATCTGAAAATAGGTTTTATGCAAATGAGCAAGGCATTTGCATAAACTCTGGCTAAAAATGGAAATTTGAATGAAAAATGGCTAAAAAATGAATTTGGTTGGAAAGACGGGCTATTTTGGTCAATTTGCCGTGTTTTTTCCTCTCTCTTGATAACTGATGCCAATGAGTCATATATATATATATATGTGTTTGTGTGTGTGTATATATTATTAAAAAGGTGACTATTTGTATATTCAGAACTGTTCGACTTTTCTTGGCATAGTTAAAGAGGGTTAAAAGATAGAATCATATGGTACCTTGAAAACACAGTCATGAGGAAATAAATCCAATAGATTAGGATCAATATGATCTTTTAAGCCAGACATACTCATAGAGTCTGATGAGTGCTTAAGAGCTGCCAACATCTGCAGTATTCCAACAACAAATTAGGGCTGGTAATCAAAATCAACGTTAACAAATACAAAAGATTTAGAAGGAACGTGTTTTTCAATTGGGAGGGGCAGGTTTGGCAAAAACTTGGCTTTCTGCATAAAGCTCTCCCCTAGAAGCTTACTGAATAAGCCACTTTCTATGTCGTTAAGCCACTACCAAACAGTCATCTATAGCCGACCAAATAAGTTGTGTGGCTCATTAAGCTGCTAACAAACAGCCCCTTAGGGGCTATTTGGTTGGTTTTCATTATGTCTTGTATGGATAAAGCTATCTATGTAGATTAATTTGTTTGTATAGATCGAGCATGTTTTTGTTTCAGATGGTTTTTTCATAGATGGAAGGAGCGTGTTTTTAATTGGGAGGGACAGGTTGGGAAAAAACTTTGCTTTCTGCATAAAGCGTCATACTGAATAAGCCACTTTCTATATCATTAAGCCACTACCAAACAGTCAACATATAGCTGACCGAATAAGCTGTGAGCTCAATTAGCTGCAAACAAACAAGCCAATTGAAGTCTTTCCAGAAACTGAAAACACTTACAATGGAAGCCAACGACCGTCTCTCAGAATTTTTCATCACAACAGTTTCGGTTCGTGTAATGGCTTCTTTTCCCGATATTAACTCAAAAAGAACAACACCAAATGCATATACATCACTTCTCGTTGTAGCTAAGCCATCCCTGAGATATCTGTCATAATAAGAGCGATTAAATGATGTCAACTAAGAAAATGCACCCGTTTGAGCAGAGAAAATATATGCACACACTTACTCTGGAGCTAAATAACCAAAAGTTCCAACCACTCTCGTGGCGGAAGCTTCTCCATCGTTAGTTCTTCCTACGAGTTTCGCCAACCCAAAATCTGAAATCTGTTTAAAGTAAACGCCTTTTAAATGCAAATTTACTAATGATGGGCAATGCTTCCATTGTTAGGCAATGATGCAAAAACAAGTTAGATAGATTTACCTTGGCTTTGAAGGCACCATCTAGTAAGATGTTGCTTGTTTTGATATCTCGATGCACGTAATGAGTCTTAGTGTGCTCATGTATGTATTCCAGCCCCCTTGCGGTGTCCAGTGCAATTTGAACCCTCATAATCCAAGATAACGTTGGATGACCTAGAGAGAAGTCATTTAAACTTATTCAGTGATATACTCATAACCAAACAAGCCCGGTAAATCCCACCAGGAGGTGGGGCCTGGGTGGAGTGGGATGTATGCAGACCTAACCTCCACCCCGAAGAGTAGAGTGATTGTTTCTGTGAAGACCAGCGATATATTTACACTTGGGATAAATATAAATAATTTCATGAGGCGTTCGAGTTTGACTGTTAAGTTGAGCAAATACAAAAGCCTATAAATTGGGCATAGGGGTTGTTTGGTTGGTTTTCCATTAAGTCGTGTATGGACAAAGGCAAAGCTGTTTGTGTGGATTAATATGTTTGTATAGATTGGGAATGTTTTTGTTTGGGAAGGTTTTTTAATAAATGGAAGGAGCTTGTTTTTTAGTTTTTTAATTGGGACGGGCAGGTTTGGAGAAAACCTTGACTTTCTGCATAAAACTCCCCCTAGAAGCTTGTTGAATAAGCCATTTTCTATATAATCAAGACACTACCAAACAGTCATGTATAGTTGACTGAATAAGCTGTGAGTCCCATTAAGCTCATTAAGCTGCTAACAAACAGACCCATAGTCTAACATCTATATCATATACTTTAGGCATGTGCCATTTCCACATGAAAAAACTAGATCCTAAAACCACAATTTCTGAAGAAAATCTACTAGTTCCTCAACCAGGAAATCAGAAAATAATCAAGGATTGTTTCTCACCAATGATATGGAAAATCAATGGTGTAAACCTTCATAGTTAAAAATGAATATGACATAAATACATGTCCTACAAAATAAAGTTAATTAATAGATTACAAACCAAAAATAAAGTTCATTATTTTTCACAAATTACATTGAATCATAGATATATCATAAATATATTGAAGTGTTACATTATCAAACACAATTTGATATCATGCAGTTTGTGCCATTCCTTTCATGTCTTATCATTTTATACTGTGTCGTACCATGTGAGTCGATTACATCCCATCATGTGGCCCAAATAGTTAAAATAATGGGTGAATTAATCTAGTTTTTTACAAATTTGGGTTGATATTGCCTCCTCTATATCATAATTAAGCTGTTTCAGGATTTTTTTTAACACAGGGTACTCATGTTGGGAGACAGTAGAGACTTGAGCAGTATGTAGAATATATTACCCTTGTTTTGTGGATCATGCAAGTGACTTCCAAGTGAACCTTTCTGAGCATATTCATAAATGAGGAAGAGCTCATCATCACTAGCTGCATAACCAATAAGTTCTACCTTTGACAAGAATAAAACCAGACGGAGTCAATACTTGAAAGAAGTAAAATGAACAGTGACGGCGTTATGACACATAGATAGTGATATAAACATCAAACGCCAAAATCCTTACCAAATTTGTATGATGAACCTTGCACAAAACTTTCATTTCTGCTGTGAACTCTTTAGTTTTTGTGGCAGTCATTCTTTTGACAGCTACTTCCTGAAAGAATTGCAAGAATGTACTAGTGAGGTTGAGAATAGGGTTATTGCTCCAGACATTTGTTAAAGGTGACAAATCAAACAGCAAACCTGTTCCCGAAGTAAACCATAGTACACAGAGCCATATGTTCCATGACCTAGAAGATTGGACTCAGAGAAACCCTCTGTACACGATAAAATTTCTTCAAATAAGAAGACAACAGGCTTCTCAACGTTGAACATATCAGTCCCAACAACTGCAATAATAAGCCAAGAACGGAAAATCACTTCAAAGGTTATCACAAAATGTTATGCGGTCACAAGGGTGGTGGATTCTGTGGGAATATGTGAAACCCGGATAGAAGGGAGGTTCCAACATATATAGAGAAATCGTCCAACCATTTCTATTATATATGCACTCCAACACGACACCTCGAATGGAGGCTAGAGAAACACAGAGTGTCCCAGAGTGTCGAGCTCTTGTAGTGGTAGACCCCCACTCTCGTACAATGTGAGAGTAAGTGGAACTTTATTAAGTTACTCTTCAAAAGAACATACAGTGAGTAGAAATTGTCAAGTCTAGCTGATCTGGGACTCCAACGTGTCTCCCTTTTTTAATGTATGCAACTAGGATCAAGTTCTCCCCTTTGTAACGCAAGCAGTTATTATATAGAGCATAAACTAACATAAACCAAAGTCTAACCTTTTGGAATGTTTGTATGACGGTCACTAGATTCCTCAATAGTTTGTCTCCAATCATCAGATTTGCAGCAGAGTCTCCCTGAACCACACCAAAAGCTTGATGTTCGTAATATGTGGAACTTATGAGAAACTTGTTCATCTTCAGGACCCTTTAAACGATTCCTTTGGGCATCACTGAAGCAAATTGATGATCTCATGCAAACGAAAAGAAGTACAACTGCTATGATTAGAGCCAATCCAACACCCAAACTCCCTATGATCCACCAACGCTTTAAGTCACTCTTGTGATTAATTCCTACCATGAAAGAAATAGACATAATAACCTTAAGAACTCCAGTCTGGAGGACAATTCGATTTCAGTATCTAAAATAAAGTTAGGTATCTGAATCACCTGTAACAATGGCGGAAAGAGTTGGAGATGGAGCAGGAGCAGGGGGACTGTCATTCTCTATAGGGTATGGCTCTCCAGGAACTAGAGTAAATTCGATATTCAAATACATAAGAATCAAACAAAAGAAATTAGTCAGGATATCATAAACTAACCAAATCAGATTCATCTCAAAAGGGGAGAAAATAAGATGATGAAGCATCAACCAACCTGAATTCAGAGGAATGTAATAAAGTGCACCAATAGTGACGTTATCAGGATTATCAATCTTGTTAACGATTTCAATGCTATCCATACTAACACCAAACCTACTCGCTAGCAATTCAATGCTATCCCCTTCCTTCATCACATAGCTCATCAAGTAATTCCATAGTCCAGTCGAACAACCACAAAACAGCTGCAACGACACCACCGCCCCTGTACGCGCCGGTCGGGAGAAATTCGACAGATACGCCAATCCTCCATACGAATCAACCACCAAATCATAGACAGATCCTCCATTTTTCCTCACCGTGTATGTAGTATTCGTCAAATACTTATAAACCGGAGAAGTAGCACAGGAACAATTCTTCCGAACAAAAACATAGTTACGGCCGTTACCTTCAACTGTAACATCGTTAGGTAATACATCAAACATGCTCATAATCACGTCTAGGGTTTGATTGGGAGATGGACTGAACGCTAAGAAGGAAGTGCACAAGCGAGATGTCTCTGTACAATTTAATGGCGTCGGGTATGCAGAACCGAGTGTCTGCAACTGCAAAACCGAAAGAAACAGTATCAGCAATTTGAGCATCCGGATTGAAAACTCCATTGTTGAATGATTGAAAAGGTGTGTAGTTGATGGATTTTCAGAGTTATTGGGTGAAGTTGAAGATCATTGGAAGAAGGTGGAGCTTGAGATTACAAAATTGATGAAGAATTTAGGGATTTGATGGAGTAATTTGGGAGTGAATTGAAGAAGAAGAAGAAGAAGAAGAAGAAGAAGAAGGTGTTGAGAGAGTAGAAAGTGTGATGATATGGAGTGGTCATAGACATGGGAAGTTAAAAGTAGAAAGAAAGGTGAAAATGTAGTTAGAATCATGTGTGTGTTTTTGTGTATACAACTACTCCAATAATACAATGTTTTAACTTGAACTAACACATAAATACTACTTTGATTTGATTTCTTTTCGTCGGGTAAAAAGTTGATTATCAACAATCTCAACTGATTCTATACGGGATTTGTCTTCAAGAATATCAGTATCAGAGGTCATTTTTTTGGCTCATTTAGCAGCTGAGGCTAGATGGGGGCTGTATCAAACAAGAGACTTGTCTTTACATTTGGGTTAACTCGACTCACCTCTTTTTGGCTTATTCAGCAGCTGAGGCGAGTTGGGGGCTTGTGATCAAACCCGAGACTTGTCTTTATATTTGGGTAAAGTCGGCTCACCTTTTTACTAACTGAACTACACATCAGAGGCGTTTGATTATTTTTATATATCACATAAATTGTTGTGTGTTATATTATGTTTTCTAAATAATAGATATATTTTGTGTGCAGTTAAATATTGAAATAAGAAGTACAAAAAAGTTGAGAATGTGTGATCAGACGTTCATATTTGAATCATCAAAAAAAAAATCCTTTTGGATATTTATACGTGAACTCTTTATTGTTTACCTATATTTTTATCAAATATTTACATGTGAAGATGTATTGTATATGTTAACACACATTTTTTTAACCAATTATTCACATGTGATACTTTGATTTCGCAAATTCTTGATTTCTTTGTCCTTTTCAATTGAACTTTCCCTTCTTTTTCAAAGGGAAAATAAATTTTACTAAAAACATGATAGTATTTTCAACAGTTATGTTATTTTAAATTTTTTGGATATCTGAAAAAATTTGCTCCAATAGCTATGCTAAAATCTCTTGTAAAATAAAAAAAGGAAAATAAAGAAATCTTCAAATTTCGAAGAAAGAGAAAATATAACATATCTACTGAAAATGCTCTAATGGTGGTCATGCTTGACCGAAAAAAAAGGAAGTTTGAAGGTTGATGGGCTAATAGGCTAGTCGATAGCGTAGATCAGATATGTGGTTTTCGCCTTCTTTGTTCAGGGTTTTCTTTTCTTGCTTTTATTGTACATTATTATTTTTCCATACTTGTTTTTCTCGGCACCTCATGCTACTCTAATCGTTTGCTTGCACTCTTGCACAAGCGGGTGTCTTCGTGGAAATAATCATTCTACTCTTTTTAGTGTAAATGTCAGGTTTACATACACCTTATTCATCAAAAACTCAACTTTTGAATTAGATCCATTGGATCGTTTTGGTTTATAGTCTTTATATAAAAGTACTCGTAAGTTGCCAAAATATTGAATGAATACATAATACATAAAAGAAGGGGGTTTTCACCAAAATGACCAAAATATATCTAATATATTAACAAAATAGTCATTTTTTTCAAGTATTTCACAAAATAATCACACGGATCACCCCCCCCCCCTGGGGGGCATGTTGACCATGGGGGCGATCCAACCTTCTTTGACCCAAAAAAGTATTTTAAATTGATTTGGAGTCCCACATGTATCTGATTTGGAGGACAAAACATCTGATTTACCTTAAATAGGGGGATCACCCTAAAAGAAGCCATCATCATGAGAAACGAAACTACAAAACAATAAACTCAAAAGTTTCATTAATTACCATAAAGCTAATCTAACTTATTAATTGCTATTCAAGCATAACTTTTTTATACCGTTAATAAATGTGATGGTTGTCGCGCTAGCTTAGTAGTGTAGGGATGCAAAGAAAGTAACAATATACAAAGTTCGTAAGCTGCAATAGCTAGTTCAGTAAATAACAGATTTTAAACCTTTGTCAGATAAAAAAAGAAGCTTGTTTGATTTATGTGAAGTGTGAACGTTGTATTTTGCATAAATGTTGTGAATTCAGAGAATGTAAGTGTTTGATACCATTTCAAGCAATAAAACAAACATGTAATTATAGAAATTATAGAAATATTACTAAATGAAAACGTTAATACTTGATTCCTATTTTGGGTAACCGGTTTATGCTTCAACCGGTTACCCGAGTAGTTAAATGCTTAAAACCTTACATCTTAGATACAAAAATGAAAGTTTTGAAAGTACATTACCTAAAATAAAAATCAAGTTAAAGTACGTTACTTTTTCATACAATTTCCCTTTTGTAAACCACTATAACCATCTTGTAATTTACTGTTACCTTCAACAAACCATAAAAACCCAAAAAAAAATTGATTAAGCTGGATATCCAACTCGCTATGCTAGCTGACTAATCACAGGATGATCACCTGCTTTACAGATAGCCTAGAGTCAGTGTATTTGAACCTCTATAGCTACAAGAGAATTTTTATTCTTCCTTGAATTTAAACCTGAAACTTTCTGATACTTTTGATTTTTAGAGCAAAGACCGAAATTTATAGTTAACTCTAAAATTAATTAAATGGGAATATAATAAATGATGATTATACATGTGGAAATGGAAGTGGCCCCCCAAGAGGGAACATAATTGCAAAAATGCATGTGTTTTTCACAATAAAATAATACATTAAATAGGTGGCAACAACCATACCCCGTAGGCCCGTATTATTTGTTTTTATTTTATTATTTAAAAACAACTTTCTAACCTAATTCTATATTAAGATCATGCTTGTTAATTATAGCCCAATTTTTTTTTTAAATATATTTTAATTAGCTTTATGGATATTTTTTCACTTAATATATTCCTTTATTTTTTTTATTAATATTATTTATTTAAGTTATTTTTAATGAATTAAAATTATTATTATTTATAATATTTAATTAATTACTATGATAAAAAAAAAACCTTATTGCATACAATCCTAGGAATTCCGTGAAATCCCGAACACTCCTTAAGAATTTCAAAATTCTATGTTTGAAGGATTTCAATTAAATTCTAGAATTTCAATTCCGGACAATCCAACAAACCAAACATGAGATTGGAATGGATTTGAAATGTAAATCCCCCCAAATCCATTACATTCCTTCAAACCAAACGGGACCTAAAAATACTTTATACAATAGTTACAAATTATGTTCATGTGGTTTCATGGAAATTTTGAATTAGATCTGTAATCCTAAATAGTTAGGATTATGATTTATATGGTTTTATAAATCAAATCCTTAGTTTAACCTACGAAACTTGTAGTTTACTTACTTTATATTACAAAACATTTACAAAAAAAAAAAAATCTTTAATCAACATATGTATTTTTATCAAAGGGTCTTTGGCTTAGCGATATCGTAGTCTTTGACCTCTTATGAGGTCAGAGGTTCAAACCTCACCAAATATGAGAAATGTATGTGAGTTTATTTATTGCATTTGTCGTATATAAATATTATATACTTCAAAAAAAGCCATATATACTCTTTTATTTTTAAATTAATCACGTTATATTTATAATTTTATCGATAATAATCAAACTAAAGTTGTATTATCATCTGGGTTATATTTGTAATTTTCATTTTCTTTCTCCAAATATACAACTTAAATGCGTTTCCAATGCTTCATTGAGTGACAAGACATCATTAGATGGCACTTCATGAGACCATATTGGTACATGTGCAACTTAATCATGTGGTAATGACAACAAATAAACCTGAGAAGCTACATCGTCTTATTCAGCCACATAAAAACGACAGCGATGGATGCAATTTATTGTTCTGGGGTATATCAAGGTTCAGTTTCCGATTCATATTTCGTCGATATCTGTACCCTGTCAAAGTAAAGAACCATGACATCCTTTCGTTTGAAGAAAGAAATGATCGTAAAGAATCTATCTTTCTTAAAGGAATTGACGGGGACCCGCACAAGCGGTGGAGCATGTGGATAATGACCCAACTCTTTTAAAAATAGCCAATAAAAATATATTTTTTTAAATGTTCGTTGACTAGTAAATTTGACACCGCAAACCTACTTTTGCTTATGATGTTAGAAAAAGTAGAAAGCAGGCCAAAAAGTAAACCGCGATCCTACTTTTGCTAAGCCAAAGAGTAAACCGCAAGTCTACTTTTGCTTTGTTGTTTTTTTACGTTGGATTCTAAGGAGGGGACCGCAACTTGCTTTTTCACTTTATGGCTTCCGGTTTTTTTTTTTTTTTTTTTTTTTAAGATTTTTTTCCTTGATTTTGGTCAGAAAAAAGTCTGACACGACAAACTAAAGTAAACTTGCGGTATCAGATTTGTTAGCCAATTGACATTTAAAAAAATATATATTTTGGTTGCTACTGTTTAAAAGTGTTTGGTCAGTATGGCCGTTTGAGTTAATTACCCAAAAATGTATTCAGAGGAATGTCAATTCAAATTGTTATGGATGTGGGAGCATCAACTCCGTTCCTATGGGATTTTGAGGAGCAGATAACGCTTGCATCCTCTGTATTATCGCCAGCTGCTGTCACAGAGTTAGCTGATGAGAATTAGTTGGAATATGTTCGTATCTATCAATGGGAATTTGGCACCTCTTGCATTCAAAAAACTACCACATTCTTAATGTCGTGAGTTTTGGTAACCCGGTTCCTCGATTTTTTTAATTTGTATGGTCTAGTTCGACGCAATTTGGTTCTTTGATTTTGTTGGTTCGAACTAGTTTTTGTTCGTCATTAACAAAACGAATCATAAAAGTTAACACGTTATTTTTAGAAATAAACATGAAAAGCTACAACCAGTTGTATGCATTTAATTACTCGATGGTCCGTAGCAGATTTTGAAAAGCTTTTCCTATGTGTTGGAAAAGGACGAAAATAAATGGCATCAAGTCTAACGTGTAAAACGAGAAAATCACATGTAACGAGTAAAACGACCGTTGGTATGAGAACCCTACCTCATAGCTCTCCCACGGATATATTCGCCGGTAATTTAATCCAATTTTAATAAATAAATAAAAATTTAAATATTTTCTTAATTTAATCAAGATTTTTTAAATAAACCGGTGGAAATTTTACGGCGGCCGGAATCCTCCAGAAAATTAAATATTATAAAACAGTCTGTTAAAACATTTAAACACTTATTGCATGTAAAATCATAATAAAAATTAATTAAATCATGTTTATATTTTTATCAAAAAAAATTATTTATTTTTTATGTTTTATTACGTCATAAAAAATTCAAGTGGCACAAACAGTCAAAAGTAGTGGTTGGAATACGAAAGTCTCCAAAGAAATGAAACATGGAGTAGGTTAATATGGTGGCCATCCCAACCCCACCTCATCCACGCTCTTATTATTCTTGATATTCGAAATTAGAGTGGTTCATCAATTTGTGAAGGGAAACGAACCGATCCAATTATTTATTGGATGTGAAGGAATCGGACTGATCCAATCATCTGTTGGATGTTGGATTTTGTCAATCGATCTCATCTGATTAACATTGGATAACTGATCCAATCAAATCCAAAGGATGATTGGATCGATTTGGCTCTATCCATTGGATACTTTTATTGGATATCCAATGGATGATCCGTTGAGATTGGATAAATCAAGTGTGTTAATTCAATCAAATTCTCTAATAATGATACAAATTGATTACTCACTTTTAATATGTGTTAAAACCACATAAAGGAAATTAAAAATTCAAAGCCTCACATAAAACAAATCCCGATTTAAGCAATTTGAAAATAAATTAATTGGATGATTGTTGGATAATGATTGGATGGACAAGTAGATGGTTATCGGATGATTAGTTGGATGGGTAACTTATTGTTGATCGATTTTGGTCGATTTTGGACTACGGGGCTGTTTGGCAGTTGCTGAATGATTTAGTGCAGAATAGTTAAGAGGTCAGAATGGCTAAGAGGGTCAGAATGGTTAAGTGCTGAATGAAATATGGTTGTTTGGTAAATGTTTTCTGAATGATAACAAATTACCATTTTAACCCTCAATAATATTAAATAATTTAAAGTAAATTATAAATAACAAAAATCATATATGTATATACATTCCAGTTTCATCGCCCCCTTCATCTCCTACCATCTCTCCTTCCCTCCGTTGCCGTTGCTCAGGCCTTCCCCTCCGTCTCCGCCGCTCAGGCCTTCCCCTCCGTCGTCGCCGCTCAGGCCTTCCCCTCCGTCGCCGCCGCTCAGGCCTTCCGCCTCTGCCATCCCTCTCCGTCGCCTGCCTTAGCCGCCGCTCAGGCCTTTCGCCTCTGCCATCCCTCTCCGTCGCCAGCTTCGATCGACTGTTCCAGTGACCAACAAGAGAGGGGTGCAGGGTTCTATGATTTGATTTTTGGGTTCTATGATTTGAGACGGAGATGGAGACGGTGCAGGTAGCCGGAGATGGAGACGGTGCAGGTGGCCGGAGATGGAGACGGTGAAGGCGGAGATGGAAGGCGACGTGAACTCGTGGAAGGCGACGTGAACTCTGGATGGAGACGGTGAAGGCGACGTTGGAAGAGAGGGGTGGGAGGGGTAAAGATGGAACAAATGATGTCTGAATGGTTGAGTGAAGCACCAGGTGCAAAATGGTTAAGAGGTGTTTGTAACCATTAAGAGGTTGTTTTTTTTTTGCCAAACACACGTAACCTCTGACCGATTCAGCGATTGGCTCTTAATGTAACCATTAAGAGCCTACCAAACAGCCCCTACCATCCGAAAACCGGCTGATCCGAATTGGATGTTGAAACTTTCAATCCGATCCGATCCAATAATGATCGGTCGGTTCTAATTGGATCAGTCGGTTCCAATTGAATTGGTGAATTTTCTGCACAGACCTATAATAAGGTCTTCATAGTTCAACTTTTGCTTAGTAGAGAAAATGTAAACCGAATCGTATTAAGTGGATACTTGATTATCTGAACTCATATTGAGCTGCAGGTTGAATTGAATCGAACCGTGCCGAAATAAGACGATTACTCGTATTTATAAAAAAAATATATCATTTATAATATAAAAATGGTACTGAAATACAGTATTTAAATTAATCTACCATGGCCTGGATGTGGCTTTTGAGGCTTTACCTCTCGGTCAGCCATGCAACGCTTCACGCTATTTAGAACTTTACGAACGTCCAAATAATTTTGAACGTGTGGCGGATGAACCTTTGTTCAGCTATGTTCTTATCACTTGTGTCGAAGGTCGAGTGCCAGCAGCGGCCGGCCGGCCATATCGGATTGTCGTCTCCGCTAACAAACCGCTGTGCTCTTCTAATCGTTCAACAAACGCCGGGTGTCTCTCGTACACGATATGGCTCAAAACGATGGGCGTTTCTCCCCCTTCTTCTGGTTCCACTTCACAAAACAGCAACAATTTGGAAGGGAAGTCTGCAGCCTGATCATCATATTATATATGTCAATTTCGTTTACAAAATCGGAATCATTGAAATTGAAATTTAGAGGAGTTAAAAACGAATTGAAATATACGACTGCCAGTTCGTGATGGAAAGCAATATGTTGATCTGGTGGGGACTCGTTGGCGCTGTAAACTCGGCCAAAAACCTGTGTCCGGGGTGCACTGCTGCCTATGGCCGGGAAACCTGTAGCTTCAATGACGTCATTGAAGTCCGAAGGAGATTCAACCTCGGAAGAGAATCACTCCGCTTTTTCTGGAGAAGATCCTCCAGGCTCCAGCCATTGTTTATGAGATTTGATGCTTCAGTAAGGCGAAGAAGATGATCATAATGATGGTTTGGAGGAAGTACAGTGGGGAATTGAACTCCATTAATGAGGTTCTTCTGTTGAGGGAGATGAGAGTTGTTGGAAGAAGCTTTCCTTCACAACAATGGCAGCAGGTGGTTGATCCATGGAGGTACATACAATCACCCACTATCAATGGTTTATATATAAGAATTGCTATCCATGCTTTTTTTTTTTAACCCATGAGATCACCTAAATAACATTAAATTTTCATTGTAAAACATTATGAACGTAAAACTTCACAATGTTTTTGCTATAAAGATGCAGGGATCTTTGTACCTTCACAAATGTTTTGTGGTTGTGAAGTTTTTTAGTCTTATTTTATGGTCTAAAAGTTGTCACAGAAAATAGTTTGATGTCAAGTGAACCTAAGTATCTAACCCATGTATATAAAGCAGAAGGTGAAGATTTAAAATAACACATTTCTAACTCTGGTATTAGACGTTTATGTTCAGATGTTGTCCCATAACGGCTTGTGGAGTGTCGTGTTATCAATTTCTTCCAGAAGGAGGATGATACGAGAAAAAGCTGGTTAATTTACAAGAAGACGAAATTTTTTAAAATTATATATGATTGATTACATGTGATACAAATACGTAATCATATATATTAATTTAACACATGTTGTGTTGACCGACTATATAGCGGCCGACCTTCCATGCAATCTTTGGTCACATTCACCAAGTAGTTAGACCCCGTCCCTTTTGGACGTGTTTACATCACACGTAATTATGTATAAAATAAATTCTTATTCAATTATAAAATAAATAAATTGAATTAAATTATGATTTTCGTCTATGTGGTTTGAAAATTATTTCAATTTTTCGTACCTGTGGTTTAAAAATTATGATTTATTGTTATTTTCGTTTATTGACTAATTCTTATCTTTAAGTACAAGGGACAAAAACAGTAAAAAATTATGAAACATATAGATTGAAACAATAATAAATTGTAAATTATAAGGAGAAAAAGTTAATAAATCACAAACCATATGGATCAAAACCGTAATTTTTAAACTATAGAGACAAAACAGCATTTTTAACAAACCCGAGGGACTAAAAAAGCAACTCACTCATAAATTTATATGAAGCAAACAAACGCCATGCAACGGTGATCAATAACTTCATTCCACGAGCCTCAAAGTATATATGCACTACTAAAGAGATGCTTTTATTGACGAAAATTTCCACCGGTAATAATTGACGGAAACGGTGACGGATTGATCAAAGTCAAAATTTGACCAGTATTCGTTAACTTCCGTCTGTAATCCATTCATGATCACTTGCAAAGAGAGGCCAATACACGACGACTGCGAGCTTGCGAATTGACACATGGTCTACGAGAATGAAGCACGGCCAAATTATCTATAAGCAAAACATCGCCTTTTTTCCAAGGGATTGCGACACATTCCTCCTCTAGAATCTTGATACAGTCGTACACCATATCTACAGGTATCGGCTTGCCATCACCAAACGTAACAGGATCAGGTTGAACCACCGTGCTATTGTCTTGCGATCCGTGACCATGACCGACCACCAAGCTATTGAACCACGTCTTGCTTTGCCTTGCTTTGTCTACTCTAAAAGCCGACAACGGACCTATTATCATCTTCACTGAATCCAAACCATCATCGTCTATCCATTCTAGCTTCATTCCCATCTTTGCAGCCCTACCAAAGATAAATTCTCTTACACATTTACCATCGTGAGGTTTTTATATCGACGATATGATCGTAGGAAAATTGATCAAAATAGCCGACCCCAACCAACTTCATTTTTTAGCCACTTTTTCAATTCAATTTCCATTTTAGCTAGAGTTTATGCAAACAAGTGTATAATGTTCAAATTGTGGTGGATGAGAATATCAGAAAAATTGATGAATTGAACCTTTGTTCAGCTATGGTCTTATCATGTGTGGAGAAGGTTGATTGCCAGCCACGGCCGGACGGAGATGTCAGATCGTCGTCTCTGTTCAACAGCCGTGTATACAGTAAACCATGCTCTTCTAAACGTGCAACAAAAGCCGGATGGATCCGTTTCATCTTCTCGTAAACGATATGGCTCAAAACAATCGGCGTTTCTCCTCCTTCTTCTGGTTCAACTTCACAAAACAGCAACACTTTGAACGGAAAATCGGCAGCCTGTTCGATTAATTAGGTCAAATTCATTAACAAAATTGAAATTAACAATCGAAAATAGAAATTGAAGCGGAGAGACGATAAAGATGAATTGTTACGTAAGCCATTTCGTGATGGAAAGCAATATGTTGATCCGGCGGGGACTCATTGGCGGTGAAAACTCGGCCGGAAACCTGTGTCCGGAGTGCGGCGCCGCCTATATACTCCATGTCCGGAAAACCTGTAGCTTCAATGACGTCATTGAAGTCGGAAGGAGAGTCAACCGGAAATCCTCGGAAGAGAATCGCACCGCTTTTCTGGAGAAGATCCTCCAGCCATTGTTTATGAGATTTGATGGCTTCAGTAAGGTGAAGAAGATGAGTTTTAGCAGATGAATGAGGGATTGGAGACAGTACAGTGGGGAATTGAACTCCATCGATGAGATTCTTCTGGTGAGGTAGGTGAATTTGTTGGAAGAAGCTTCCATTGATAGCAATGGCAGATTGATCGTCCATGTACCTTACTGTGGGGGTACACTCATCAAAAAGTTGCTCAAATTTATTTATTTTCTAAGATTAACTAAAAATCAATGCATTATATAGACAATCCATAAGATTAAAAATTAAAAATTAAAAATTAATTAATTTTTATTTTTATTTATTAATAATTAATATGTATTTATAACTAATAATAATTAATATTAATAAGAGTTATAATTAAAAAAAATGACAAAAAACTCTACATAAGTTATTTCAATTAGCATTTCAATAAGCTAACTTATGTCCATTTAATTACGTATCAAAAAACTAAGTTATGGGCCGTTTACTAAACGCTTATCTGATAAGTGTTTACCGATTAATTTTTCTTATCTGATGAACATGACAAGGGTTAAAAATCTTACTCGATTAGAGCAATTGTAAAGATGGATAGTTTTACTCGATAAATGAGGGTGACGACCCTAATAGGGTAAGTGCTTACTGAGAAAATTGTTGCATATGCTGACATTTTAATGTACTACAATTTTACCCAGTAAGATAAATTATAGTGTTGACTCCTAATGATAAGTGTTTACCGGGTAAGTATTTAGGTAAACGGCATCTTAGCTTATTTGTCAAACAATGTCTTATTATTGCATTGTTAACTATGTTATTTATTTTATTATTATTAAACAAAAATCACAAGTTCATTTACAAAATTAAGAAATTTATGTAAACAAGAAACCAAAAATAATGTCAAACAACGACTAAATTTTGTGTCAAATATTTATGTCAAACAACGATTAAGTTTTGTACCAAATATTTACGTCAAACAATGAATAAAATTTATATTAAATATTTATGTCAGTAAAAATATTATCAATCACTTTTTATGCTCTTAAAAAGATTTCATAACAATAAAATTGGATCGGGTAAATTACATGAAAAAATAATGTATTTAACTTTATTCTTATTTTGGGTAATGTATTTTGAAAACTTTTATTTTGATATCTAAGATGTAAAGTTTTAAACATTTAAGTATTCGGATAACCAGTTGAATCATTGGCTAGTTACCATGCTGATGTGGTATCCGGTTACTGAGTTGGATACCACATCACTCGCCACATCAGCATGGTAACCAGTAATGCTTCAACCGATTACTCGGATACTTAAATGTTTAAAATTTTACATCTTAGGTACCAAAATGGATGTTTTAAAAGTACGTTATCTAAAATAAGAATCAAGTTAAAGTATGTTACTTTTTCGTACAATTTGTCCAAATTGAATTTATATAACGCCTAAAGTACTTTAAGGGATTGTTTAGCAAACACAAGCTAGTTTAATTTTTAGGTACACGTTTGGATGGATATAAGCTAGCTTATAAGAAGTTAGTTTGATAAAATGCAAGTTGACCAATTTTATTTTTATTCATATCATATGCAATGGTTAATTAAAATCATAAATTAATGTAGATTTTTCTTTAAATTTATTTTAACAAATCCAAAATTTATAATATATATAATAATCAATTTAAAATATTTGTTTTAATCACATTATAAAATATTATAATTAATTAATTTTTCAAGATGCATTTTTTGGTCATTTCACATGCTTATCAGTTAATTTTTGTCAAACATGGTTTGTTCATCACTTAACTTATCAACTACTAGTTTGCTTATCAGTCATCAGCTAGTTTGTCAAACATAGCCTAAGTATCTTAATAGAGTGCTTATGGGACATAAATTTATAGAACCAAAAAATAATTGATATATACAACAATACAACATTTTTGGACGTCCTATTAAGTTTTTAATCGTTGTGTTAGCTATTTTAGAAGTGTTTTATAAACTCATCTTGTTTAGTGTCTTATAAACCCTTCTTCTTACAAGACTTTTATATTTATATGACACTTTTTCAAATATTATCCCATAAAATAGTTAATACAACACTTTATTTGAAAGAATCCTAAAAAACTTGTTATGATGTCAAAAAAACGTACTTATTACAACACATTTAGATAGAATGATTTATTTTTTAGTCCTATAAAATTAAATCCCATAAGTCATTAATTGTAATATATAAAATTTTTTATTTTATAATAAATTGGGAAAATATAGTTTAAAGAAATGATTTGGACTGAACCAATAATCTAACTAATTAAATATAGCTAGTAATTTGGACTAGTTTTTTTATTGTCTTTATTTTTATTTGTTTAACACAAAAAAACAATATCTTGAAATATAAAAACAATAATATATTTATTAAATGCATTTAATAGGTCTTTCTGTTATTGATTTTGAAAAGTTCATTCTTGTGTGTTGGAAAAGGACGGTAAGTAACATTGTTAAGGCTAAAAAATTTCGAGCGAAACGACAACTGCAGTTGATGTGGGACCCTTGCCTCATGTCTCTATCGACAAATCACGCGAGTAAAAGTAACGATAAATTTTATAAATGGTATTTTGAGATTGGCATAATTTTAAAAAGCATCTCAAGGTTGTTGTAGAAATAGGGATGTGATACTCGGACTGGATTTGTGCTCAGTTCAACAACTTGAGTGTGAGAGTGAGTTCAATGGGGGCAATCGTTTGGGTCATATGGATTTGTTTTCAGTGACTTTTGTGGTGAAAATCATTTAACGTACAGTGGTCCTTCGAACTCCGAGTCTCGTTATTTTATGGGAGATAGTAATTGAGATACTTCGTACTTTAATGTTTACATTCAATTATGGGAGGAACATCCTAATTTGTTTTTAAACAGTCAAAATTAGGATGCTCCTCCCAATGGAATGATTTTAGCAACTCATTTTGACCCTTTACATTATCCGAATCTCTTGAAACTACGATGAATGATCACTTTCAAAGTACGCGAACTATGATGACTGATCACTCACAAAGTCTAATAACTTATATTAATAACAACACATCTTATGTTCAAGAGATCATTAGTGAACAAAGCCAAAATCATATACCAAGCGAAATTGAAAAATCTAAATGTGTTGGCAAGGATGAGAGTAAGTTCAATACTTTGCTAAGAAGTCAAGAGATAGAGAGCTCTGAGGAAATACCTGAGCATTTGAGCAACCCCTCTTCACTTCGAAATAGTGAACAGGTGCAACAAAATGTCAAGATTGTCATTACCCCATGCTTTGCATCTGTGCAGGAAAAACATACTCTTGCAGATGCTATACCATTTATGAAGCAAAGTTGCGGAGAAAATCTTCAAGTTATTTGTAAAAAGGGACGTGATGATCAATCCAAATACTCGGGAGGTTCATAAAATCAGGTATCACTGTTGGTGAAGTGATATGGATAACTCTTTCTGGGATGAAATGTTCCCCCATTTGTGCCATTGAAATCTTCTGTCATGATCAAGGAGTGAAGTAAGTCGTCAAGAAAGAATATAAGCATAAATGGAAAATGAGTTGGTGAGGATTGTTTCGGTCAAGGAGCATACTGATGTGCTCCAGCAAATTCCACCATTTCTCGAGAATCGTCAACAAAAGACTCAGTAGCTGAAAAAGGAGAACATCATGCTAAAAAAAAAAAATTCAATGTCTGGTGCTGCAACATTCATTCCAACAGCAACAACACCACAACCAACTCCATTAGAGTGGGAGAGATTTAATCGTGACCCTTTAGCTCCAAAATTTCTTCTTTATTTTTATCTATTTGAGTCTATGAAGAGTCTTTTATTTTAAGATTTTGTTTTTGCAAGCCAAGTAAGTTGTTCATATTATCTTAAATGTGTTCATAGTCCCAATAAATTACTAGTTTTTTACCATCCTTTAATCTACTTTGTTTTTTTTTATTAGAACTAGTCACTCTATTTTTTAGGATACAATTTGGTCTAAACTTGCTGTAAAGTTTTACGAAATGATATAGGCCATTTGTTCTATTCATCATAGCCCTTTGACACCTTGCTCTCAATAATTCATCCAAAAACAAGACGTTGTTTCAAATGAGTTTGGAAATGGAAATCCAAAAAAGGCCAAAAGATTATAGCTCTAAAAAGATGACTTCTTGTGGATTTATCAAAAGCACTAAAAATGTCTCATAAGAACAAAGTGTATGTTGTCAACAAAAGAGCAAAAGTACCAAAAAGTGAGAAATTCCAATGTTGAAGCAAAAATGAGAAAAAAGGCTTGGTGAGGAAATATGCGCCAAATGAAAACCAGTGTTGGAAAAGCCCTATTGATCCTTGAATAGACAATTTTTTACACTTGTCGTCTTTAATCTATTATGTTTTCCGCTCTTTATATTCTGTTAATTACTTTGATGTCTTTACTTTCTGTTTTTTACATTTCCTCGCAATTTATTTCTGTTATGAGTAGCTAAATCTCTTAGCTCGGGTGTGAGACGGAAATGGTGAGTTTGTAAATTAAAAAAAAACAGATTTTTTTATGTAACAACAATGTTTCATTATTTTATTTTAAGTTTTATAAAATCAATGACACTTCTCGACGGGTTGATTACTGTTAATTGTTATTAATGTGTCATGGACTCTAAGTCGAGCTATTGATTGTCGTCAATTTGGATGATATGGGAAGTAGAGTTAAGAGAGTTGTTGACAAAAAGATTTGTTGTCTATATTTTCTAAATTGGTTAATTGTCTACAGGGTGATCATTTTGAAGTGTTAAAGTGGAATGTAATCAGAAATGAGCCATTTAGAACACGTCAACTTAAATGATATGAGAATCCGCTCGAAAGAGTAATTTTTAACAAAGAGATTTTTTATCCGTATATTTTGAGGACATCGTATGTCACTTTCAGTGGTCCGAATACCACATAGAAATACGGGTTGAAAGCTATAATATCAGTGCAATGGTGAAATCCGAGAGAAATGCCCTCAAAATAAATGTTGAAAATAGTTGTTACTAATTGAATGTTGTAGCATTTTGACAACATTAGTCTGCTAGAATTTGTGTTTACGTCTCACCAAAAATCTTACACCCTTGTTTTCTTTATTTTCTATCATTTTCAGTAGTGTTAACTCAAACCCAAACAAAGTTTTCAAATTCTCCATCTGAAGTTAGTCTT